AAATACAGGTACATACACGGTATGTTTAAAAGCCTCGCTCCACCGAGCACTCAGCACCGAGTGAAACATGCAGGCGTGTGCTGACGTTCAGCTGGCCAGCACATTGTCTTTAACTGGAGACATGGGCTCTTTTTTCTGACAGCCAGTCATCTTCTGGGCTTCTCTGAAAACACAAGAGAAGAAGAGTTTACGTCTCTTCAATTAAATAAACCTTTACTCATCACAGGCATACCTTTTCCTTTTGACAGCATCTTTTAACAATGTGAACAATGTGATCTCAGCAACATGTTTCTGAGTAACAACAGGAGGACAAGCTGGAATAGTTACTGGTGCTGCTCGACACCTGAAAAACCTTGGATGTCTTTGAAGCGACTGAATCATTTCTGACAAACTGACATTAACTTTTGATTTGACAGAAGATAAACCTGGTAACAACGGAGGCAGATAACACGCTCAAAGTGCACTGAAAGCAGTGTTTGGTTAAAAGGAGCCTACAGTTTACATTTCTTTGAGTAGTCAGTGAGGCCAGGAAAGGTCTACAAAGACAAAGAAGCGTCTGTTTGGATTCATTTGTAACACTAACCACACTGGTTGGCTGTTTCTGGCTCACTGCAGCAGTTCAACTCCAGTTCACACTTTTACCTGACTTACATTTTTTTAATTTTATTTATTGATTTTATTATATCGTTTGTGGTATGTTGCTCTTATTGCATTGTGTTTCCTCATTTTTGCTGCTGTGACTTGTCACCGTGCACTTCCTGCTGTCCCACGTGTGGGACTAATTAAAGTGTATCTTACATCATGGCTCCTGTGCTGATTTCAGGCTTCTCTGAGTTAATAAGCACCGCTCAGTACAAAAGATAAAATAACAGTTTTATATATTGAATCTTTAAAGCTAACGTGGATTTTCAGTCAGTACTACCAGCTCGTGTATTACATGCTTAAACTCAGAAGCGTTGATGGCCGTGGTGATGGACTATGATTGTTGTGACTTCTCCTAATTACTTTTTAAAGCTGAAGTTCCTCCAGAGGCTGCTGATGGTGGCCTGGACACCAGGGTTGTTTTCGTTATTCACTGAGGGGAATTTCTTGCCCAGGTTCAAAGACCTTTTCCTCAGTCCGCTGACCCGCGCTGGACCCAGTGTTTGCACTCTTGCCGTTTGGCTGCTGGACTTTGGTTTTGGCAGACCTGAAACCTGGAAAGAGACAGAGCATGTGCATGAAGAGACACAGAAAACAAAGGTGAAGAGGTCGGGGCTTCTTTTTGGTTTAAAACATGGCGTCCTAATACGTAAGGAAACTGCAGTTATACATTTCATGGTAACACTGCCTTTGTTTCCCCATCTGTGAGATTCATGCCGTCCATGTTTTCGCAGACAATATGAAAGACTGATGACAACAAGAACAGCGTTGGAGCAAACCAGTCATTGGACTGCAACGTAGTTCAGAGCCGTTTCAGGTGACAACACCTGGTGACTGACATAATGAATCAGTCGATGTCAAGCTCAGAGCGGAGAGGAGTATTCTGCACAGTTTAGGTTTTCATGCACACTGAAATCCCAGTTAGAGTCTTGAGCATTTTTACAGTCATTCATTCATTATGTGAGAGCAAAGTAAAGTAAAGAGTAGAATAAAATCTATA